AGAACGGCAGCTGGGCTCAAGCCTCGGCACAGTCCTCTCTGTAGTTTCAGCCTTCCTGTTCCAAACAGGAGTAGTCTGCCCACCACAGCCCCTCTCTCCTGCCAGAACACCACTTTCCCTGCGCACCCAAAGAATCTCTGCCCTTCATATATACGGTGTCACTTTGTGGGGCTGGTGCTTGTTACATTTCTTGCAGAAAGTCTAGGTGGGTCATGGGAATGTTCACGATGTTTACAGGAGTGCTGGCAGCACAAACAACTGTTTTTTTTTTGTTGTTGTTGTTGTTGTTGTTTTCAGAGCTGAGGACTGAACCCAGGGCCTTGCCCTTGCTGGGTTTGGTTTTTGAGACCAGGTCTCACTATTTAGCCTGGCTAACCTGGAACTTGCTATCTATGTAGACCAGGCTGGCCTGGAAATCAGAGAGATCTGCCTGCTACAGCCTCCTGAGTGCTGGGACTAAAGATGTCCAACACCTTGTCTTGTATATTTTTTTGTGTTGGACGAAAACAATAAGAGTAAAAAAAAAAGACTGTTTCATATCCTTTTTCTTTCTGTTTGTTGTTTTTTTGTTGTTTGTTTTTGAGACAGGGTCTATGTAGTCCTTGGTGTCCTTGAACTTGTTATGTAGGTCAGGCTGGTGGACAAGGTCCAACTTGGTGTCACATATTTTTAAGGGAGCCCAGTACGTTCCCATTTCTTTATTTACATGGTTTTTATATGCAAACATATTCATATTGGAGCTGGAGAGATGGCTCAGTGATTAAGAGCACTGACTGCTCTTCCAGAGGACCCAGGTTCAATCCCCAGCACCCACATGGCAGCTCACAACTGTAACTCCAAGATCTGACACCCTCACACAGGCAAAATACCAATGTACATAAAATAAGAATAAATAAGTTATTTTTTTAAAAAAAGTATTCATATTGAAGGCAGAGTGTGATATCACAGGTCTTTAATTCCAGCACAGACAGAGACAGGAGGATCTCTGTTAATTCCAGACCAGCCTGATCTACACAGCAACTTCCAGGCCAGTGAGAGCTACATAGTGAGATCCTGTCTCAGGGGTGGTCAATCATCCTACTGAGATGCAGGGAAAGCTCTCAACATGTGTCTTGCATTTGGAGGTGGTGGAAAGCAGCCCCGGAAGCTGCTTTGGCATTCATCCAGCTGGTGATATCCGTGAGTGCTGCCATTTTGATTACCTTGGCCTTGACCTTGCTCTCCTCTCTCCTCCTCTGTGGGAGATTCCTATGTTACCTAACCAGATATTTGCAAGGACACAGAGACCCCACTTCCCTTTTCTTTTTTTTGTTTTTTCAAGACAGGGTTTCTCTGTGTAGCTTTGTACCTTTCCTGGAACTCACTCTGTAGCCCAGGCTGGCCTGAAACTCACAGAGATTCACCTGCTCTGCCTCCTGAGTGCTGGGATTAAAGGTGTGTGCCGCCGCCCAGCCAGACCCCCTTCTTTTTTTTTTTTTTTTTTTTTTTTTTTTTTGGTTTTTCGAGACAGGGTTTCTCTGTGTAGCTTTGCGCCCCTGGAACTCGCTTTGGAGACCAGGCTGGCCTCGAACTCACAGAGATCCGCCTGGCTCTGCCTCCCGAGTGCTGGGATTAAAGGCGTGCGCCACCACCGCCCGGCTAGCGCCACCACCGCCCGGCTCAGACCCCCCTTCTTAAGAGCACCCTGTTCAAAGGAAGGCCTTACTTCCCTCTGTCCTCAAAGCACCTGTCACAAGCACACATGCCAAGCCATTCCTGACACAGTCTCAAAGACGCCCCAAGGAAAACCTGAATTTGCTGCACTGCAGGGGGTTCCTGGGGGTCTCTGACTTCAAGTTGTTAACAAGTTGTAAGAAACTCCCAGCAGGGCACAGTGGTCCATGGGGGTAATTCCAGGTACTTTGGAAGCTGAGGCAGGAAAGTCACCAATTCAAGGCCTGAGCAACATAGCAAGGTCCTGTCTCTAAATATTAAGAAAGGGCGGAAGGTATAGCTCCATGGTAGAGCACTTGCCTGGAATGTGGGAGGCCTTGGCTTCAATCTCTAGTGCCACTAACAGGAAGAAAGTGACTCCACTGTTGTGGAATATTCCTTTACATTGTGTGAAAATATGTCACTGTGATTGGTTTAATAAAAAGCTATATGGTCAATAGCTAGGCAGGATGTTTAGAGCAGAGAGAACACTGGGAAGAAGGTGGAGATGCCATGAGATGCAGAGAGAGCAGGATAGGCAATATGGCGATGAGGTAAGAAAGCCACAAGGCAGAAAGTAAGTTAATAGAAATGGGTTAATTTAAGTTATAAGAGCTGGGTAGAAACAAGCCTAAGCTGTCAGGTGAGCTTTCTTAATAAGAAGTCTCCGTGTTGTTTATTTGGAAGCTGGCTGGCAGGGCAGAGAAATCCACAGACAGTTCTCATCCCAGCATGGTGCCCGAAACTATTTAGCTGTCACTCGACTGTGGCTGTCCGACATCTCTCTCTAGCTTATGACTCCCAAACAGATCTCAGAACAGGGCACACACCTCTCTGCAAATTTGGTACTCTCCAACCCAGCATATGGTAACTGTGTCCTTCAGTAGCCTTGGCCAGAACTCTTGGAGGTACCCTCTATTTCTGTGTCTCTCAAACCCATAGCCCTCATGTTGGCAAGTTTGAGAATGCTCTGAGCATGCCCAGTACACTCTGAATCTAGTTACCTCTTACCTGCTACACTTCAAGCTCTAGGATCCAAGTCTAGGCATCCTTCCTAGAGAATGGTATCAGTAACCGCCTCCCCCCACCCCCCCCCCCCACCCCCACGCACACACCTGTCTTCACCTTGGGGCTCATCTGAGCATTCCAATGAGGTCTTTCTTGGCCAACTAGTCCTCCATCCTTTCCTTAGCCTTTGGCCTTCTTCAGGGAGGCCGGCCCATTGAGGCCCTGGATCTAGTCCCCTGGCTCACAACTCCACTTGGGCGTTGATTCCTTTCCAGAGGGAGGGAGGAAGCCTGTAAAGAGTAAGAAGGGGCTGAAGCAATAATGGCTCAGCAGTTCAGAGAGCGACGCGTGACATTTTCTGGGGAGATGTGAACACAGCTCTTTCGCTCCAGAGAAAGCATTGATGACACACTGAAGAACGGATTCCATCTGAGTCTAGCTTGGTGAGCCAGTGTGTTTATTGGGGTTATTTACAGGAGCATGGGTAGTTACTTAAAGAGCATGGGTGACTCCCAGGCAGCTTGATCGCCAAAACGTCCAGCCTCGTGATACTGCATTCTTGGAGTTCTCTGAAATAACTCACAGGCAGCTGGGCTAGCGGGGAGTCTCCCCTGCCCAGGAACTGTTACTGCGTGCATAAGGTTAGAAGGTCCTTGCTCTGAATCCGGTAGGTTTCCGCAGCTTTTGTTTAACTCTCTGAGTCTTGTAAATTTTATTTACTTCTTATGTCTTTTATTTTTTTTAGATTTATTTTATTTATGTGTATGAATGTTTTTCCTGTGTGCATTGTATGTATGTGTGCCACGTGTGTGCCTGTTAGTTAGCTCCCCTGGAACTGAAGTTACAAATGGTTGTGAGCTACCATGTGGGTGCTGGGAATCTCCTGGGTTCTCTCCAAATCAAGAGAATCAGATGACCCTGCCTCAAAACAAAAACAGTGAGGTGCATATCTAAAATAAGCTGGAAATCAAAAGGCCCCTTTCCTCAAGGATCTTTCTGTCCCTTGAGCAGGTCAGCGTGAGCTTTCTCCGGGGGTTATACTCACCATCGGAGCCCTACCCAACCCCATTGTTGATCTCGCCGCTTAACAACACTCAAGCCTATACATACAAGTGAGGGAGGCAGAAAGTGGGAGGGGGGAGGGAGAAGGAGAGAGAGTGTGTCTTGTGGTAGGGACTGTCAATTCTGGGTCTGAAATATCGCGAAGAACCTGGCCGCTCAGAGACGGAATACGAATTGGGCGGGGCATGCAAATGAGGAGGTGGCCGCGTCTCCCAGGAACTCTGGGAGCGAAACCAGCAACAAAAATATCCTCGGCCCACGCTGATCTCGCAGGCTTTCCCTGGAGCGAAGGTCGTGGTCAGGAAAGAGCAGGAGAGTCGGTGTCGGGCGCGTGGCTGTGGTTGCGTGGGTGTTTGCGACCGTGATGTCAAGGTGTGTGCGCACGTGAGTGTCGCGGGCGGTTGTGTTGGGAGAGTTATCGCTTCTCGGCCTTTTGGCTAAGATCAAGTGTAGTATCTGTTCTTATCAGTTTAATATCTGATACGTCCTCTATCCGAGGACAATATATTAAATGGATTTTTGGAACTAGGAGTTGGAATAGGAGCTTGCTCCGTCCACTCCACGCATCGACCTGGTATTGCAGTACCTCCAGGAACGGTGCACCCCCTCGGGGGACCTCTCACGCCGGTTCAAAAACAAGAACTTTAGACTCCTTATTACCCTCAACCTCTTAACTGCGTTTTTGTTCTCTGTATTGTTCCTATTCTGGAAGTCGCTTTGTAGGCCAGTAACTACTTTGTAACTCGCTTTGTTAGCCCGCCACGTCACCCTTGAGATTAGGGAAATCTGCCCGCTGTCTCACAATGCTGGGATTAGAGGCATTGTCACTACCTAGCTTCATATATGGTTTTTTAAACAACTTCTTTTGCCGGTGATCTGTACGACGTCAAAACCGGCAGGGGAAACTGGTTTGGTCGGGTTTGCCAAGAGATGTCTTGCCTTTTAGTGGTTATGACTATTCAGGTTATCTTTAATTTGTTAAGCTTGGCGCATGGATACAACTATAATTCGTAAAAATCATTAGAGAAATGAGAGTTTTAAAGATGTTCATACATAGTTCGTCACCTAAACTCACTTAGCACTCAGCAGGATGTGTCTGAATATAGGCAGTTATTATTACATAGTAAGACAATGGTATTGAAATAAACTTAAAATACCTGGTCTGTGTCAAGTTTTAGGGAAGTCGTGGGAGGCTGGTCTCCGCCCCTTTCTCATCTGGCACCGCCCCTTGTGTGCGAGCGGTAGTGTCTTGCGCAGGCGCAGTGGCTTTACCATGGCGGAATTGATTTCTTTCGTGGTTCCCACCCAGAGTGACAAAGTTTTGTTGGTGTGGGAGCTGAGCGCTGGTCCCCCAGCCGAGGCCTTAAGAGTGAGGGGCTGCGCGGAGGGGCGAGGAAAGGGGGGGGTAGGGGAGGGGCGAGGAAAGGGAGGGTAGGGGAGGGGAGAGAACCGGGGGCAGGAAGCAGGGGCCAGGGGCCCGCGCTGAGGGAGGCCCGGTGGTCGGTGAGCCGACAGGTCCCTGAGCCACCGCCCTGGGCTCCCCACGGGAAGTCCCTGTTCGCGCAGGGAGGAGTGCTCCGAGTGGAGGAGGGCGGGGACTCGTGGGAACTGGGTTTGTCGTGGGGCTGGAGGTCAGGCTGGAGGTCAGCGCTCACGTCGAGGGCCTCCCGCAGCATTCTCTGTCTACAGCGTTCTCCCAGTTTGGCCTTCTGTATTCAGTCCGAGTCTTCCCGAACGCCGCGGTGGCCCGCCCCGGCTTCTACGCCATCGTCAAGTTTTACTCGTCAAGGGACGCGCAGAGAGCCCAAAAGGCATGCGACGGGAAGCCTCTCTTTCAGACATCGCCAGTGAAGGTGGGTGCCGCCGATGCAGGACCTGGGGTGAAGTTCCCAGTGCAACCGCGAGCTAGCGTTTGTGCGGCCCTCTGGTTCACACGGTGCTTCCAGGTGCATTTCCCCTGAGGCTCTGGCTCCAGGCATTCCTAGATGAAGAAACTCAAACTTGGGATGGCTGGTGATAAAAAGGTTCATCAGGATAGTAGCTGCTCAAAGCCAGGTGTACCGATGAATCCCACGTCATTCTGTTGCCTTAAAATTTAAGAAATATTCATAAGCGTTTTCTTTTTACTTGGATTTAAAATATGTGAGTTTGATAAACTGTTGTAACCTAACGGATGCTTTATTGCCATCATTCTCAAACAGCCTATCCAGAAGTCCCCTCAGGTCCCAGAAGGTGGGCAGAGCATCTTTTAATACATTGTAGACTCCATTCCATATTAACAGCAAACCCATTGACTTGCCCGGAGCCTCAGGACAACATCTATGTTTTCATTTCCACCACTTTTTAAAGAACCATTTCAGTTTCTGATTGGCTACTCGATCTGCCCATTTGCTGCTGACCCCAGTCTATTCTTGTCTCTGGTGTTCTCCTCCTCTACTGAACCTTGATCTGAGAACTCTAGCCAGTAGTGACCCCAAGCATACAATCTCTACTTCTGTACATGTTCAGGACCACCTTCTCTCCTGGATCATCCACTTCCAAGTACCGAAGTGATTGTCTGTCAGTCAGCCTTTAATTATTGAACTTTGTGTTTTTAACTTGTGACCATGTCTCAGTCATAAATATTGTATGTGGTATGGGGAAGATTACTAAGCAGTGAGCTTCCCGTGCTCTGGGACAATGAGACCGTTTTGATAGAGTGTTGAAGGAAATCTGGAGAGATGGCTCAGTCGTTAAGAGCCCTTCCTGCTCTTTCAGAGGACCCAAGTTCAATTCCCCGCACCCACATGATGGCTCACAGTCACTTCCAGTAACTACAGTTCCAAAGGATCCCATATCCCCTTCTGGCCTGGGCACCAGGCATGCATGTGACTCACAGGTATATGTGCAGGTAAAACACACACACACACACACAATTTAAAATTTTCAATATTTAAAAAAACAACAACAACAACTCAAGGAGCAGGGCGTGAGTGCAAGGCTGGACAAGTGGGTTCCAGGACAGCACAGAGAAACCCTGTCTCAAAGACCAAAAACCAAAGCAAACCAAAAAACAAGCAAAAAAGCAAAAAACAATTCAAGGTACTGTTGAGAGGTGAGAATGGTCATATTAGTTTATTTACATAGTTTGTTTGTTGGGCACACATACGTTCTATGTGTTATAAGATCAAGGAAAGGCCTAAGGCACCTTGAGAAGTACACATGCGCGGGCGCGCGCACACACACACACACACACACACACACACACACACACACACACATCTTTGGCATTGTCCTAGGGTTATTACTACTATGAAGAAACACCATGACCAAAAGCAAGTTGGGGAGGAAAGGGTTTATTTGGATTACACTTCCATGTCACTGTTCACCACTGAAGGAAGTCAAGACAGAACTCAAGCAAGAGCTGATGCAGAGGCCATGGAGGAGTGCTGCTTACTGTCTTGCTCAGCCTGCTTTCTTGTAGAATCCAGGACCACCAGCCACCCACAGTAACCTGGGCCCTCGCCCATCAATCACTAATTAGGAAAATGCTTCACAGCTGAACCTTATGGAGGCATTTTCTCAACTGAGGTTTCCTCCTTTAAGATGATTCTAGCTAGTGTCAAGTTGACATAAAACTAGCCAGGACATACCAAAAAGAAAAAAAAAAAAAAGCCAGGCGGTGGTGGCCCACGCCTTTAATCCCAGCACTCGGGAGGCAGAGGCAGGCGCATCTCTGTAAGTTTGAGGCCAACCTGGTCTGCAAAGTGAGTTCCAGAACAGGCACCAAAACTACACAGAGAAACTGTCTCGAAAAACAAAACAACAAACAACAGTGACAAAAAAAACCTAGCCAGGACAGGCATGAAGAAAAGTGCTCTCGGGCAAGAACTGTCAGATTTGCTCCAGGTGACGCCTAGGTATGTCATACGGCTACTCAAGAGCACTTTGGTTTTGGTTTTTGAGACAGGTCTTCGGTAGTCCTGTTTGGCTTTGTTCTCGCTGTGGTCAGAGAAGGGTCACCTTGAACTTGGGATCTTCCTGCCTCCCCTGCTGGGGTGACAGATGCGTCTCCGAGCGAGCTCTCTGTGTGTTGGATTGAGACTGACGGTAGGTTTCATGCAGGCTTTTAAAAAAGCTCTTTACCAACTGCTCTGCTTCCTCTACCCCCTTTTTTTCTTCTCTAAAACAACTCTTGTAGCCCAGCCTGGCCCCCAACCTCATATTTAGTTAGAGATGATGTTCATTAACCTCCTAACGAATTTTTTTGTTTGTTTGTCTTGAGACAGGGTTTCTCTACATATCCCTATCTGGAACTCATTATGTCGGCCAAGCTGGCCTTGTATTGAGATCCACCTGCCTCTGCCTCCCAAGTGGAAGCAAAGATGTTTTTTGCCATACCCAGTGACATCCTAATTTTTTTTTTTAAAGATTTATTTATTTATTATGTGTACAGTGTTCTGTTTGCATGTGTCCCTGCAGGCCAGAAGAGGGAGCCAGATCTTTTTTTTTTTTTTTTGAGCTGAAGATCAAACCTAGGGCCTTGGGCTAGGCAAGCGCTCTGCCACTGAGCTAAATCCCCAACCCCCTAATTCTTTTTTTTGTTGTTGTTTTTGTTTTGTTTTGTTTTATTTGGTTTGGTTTGGTTTTTCAAGACAGGGTTTCTCTGTGTGGCTTTGGAGCCTGTCCTGGAACTCCCTCTGTAGACAAGGCTGGCCTCGAACTCACAGAGACACACCTGCCTCTGCCTCCCGAGGGCTGGGATAAAGGTAACCACCAGAGACGTGTTCTCCAAATAGGCCTACTACCCCTTCATCCATGTGTCGTTAGCCAGGCTTACAGTCCTGAGTATTGGTCCCATCCTGTCCCTCAAGGAGTAAGTCTTCAGTCTGTTCAGGGAACGGTCCATTACCGCTCAGCAGCCAAGCTGTTGCACAGCTGGGCAGATTATGCTTTGCAAATGGTTTCTTTATACTCTCTTTATCCTGGATCATCTTCCCTTCATCTCCCCAACCCCCCTGCCTCCCTCCCTGCCTAAGCCTTTCCACCCACAGTACTCCCCTCCCCTTTCATTTCCTTTACCTTCTGCTCTGCCATCCCCTCATCCCTCTCCTTTAAGGTAACCCTTTCTTTCCCTTCCCTTCTTTGTGTCCTCATTTGCAAAGGAACTTTAGGTGTCTGTCTGTGTGTAGTTCTGTATATATATGTGTGTCTGTGGGTGTGTGTGTGCGCACAAGTGAATGCTGGTGCCCAGGGAGAAGAAGGTGTCAGACCCCCTGGAACTGGAGTTACTTAGCCATGTGACTTGAATGCCGAGAACTGAACATGGTCCTCTCCAAGAGCAGTCGCCATCTCAAGCTCCAGGGAGCTTTGAAAGTAGTGGCCGAGGAAGAACATGCGTAAACATAATCCATGGGTGATTAATACATTAACTTTATTTGTATTGTTCAAATTTTATGAATACACAAAACTTTCTAATAATGGAGACTTTAAGATGGAGTTAGTGGAGTACGAAATACACAGTAATGTGTCAGGTATACAAGGCTAACACCTGGGGGACGTGTCAGATAAGCTTGTCAGATAAGCTTGACATGGGATTGTTCAGTTGATGGTGAAACTCGTGTGTGTGTGTGTGTGTGTCTGTGTGTGTGTGTGTGTGTGTGTGTGTGTGTGTGTGTGTGTGTATGCATTGTGAAACTCGTGTGTGTGGGTGTATATGTATGTATGCATATATATTATGATTTACTGTAGATAAGGTCTCACTATGTAGCTCTGGCTAGCCTGGAACTCTCTATATAGACCAGGCTGGCCTGGAACTCAGAGAGATCTGCTGGCCTCTGCCTCTCGAGTGCTAAGATTAAAAATGTACACTGTTGGCCTGATGGCACACACCTTTAATCCCAGCACTCAGGAGGCAGAGACAAGGGGAATCTCTGAGTTCCAGGCTAGCCTGGTCTACAGAATGAGTCTAGGATTGCTCAGAGAAACGCTGTCTCAAAAGAGGAAAAAAAAAACAAAAAAGCACACCACGGTGCCCAACCCTGTATTATCACTTGTATGGAGTTACTGATTTGGAGCTGGGTGAGTGTAAGGTTCATCTCCGTCTTCTGGGGTCATAGTCTCAAGCAGGAGCTACTAGATGGGAAGCCCGGAACAATGTCTTCGGGGCCTCCTTGGTTATTTTCTCTACCCCTTATACTGTAGGCTAACACTCCACCAACCGAGCTCCAGCCCCGCCCCCAGGGCAACCTGCCACTTAACCAGGGATCCTAACAGTGATGGGGGACAGCACCTGACTTAGATGGACAGATAGCATTGTGTGTGGGGTTCACTCTGATGCGGGACTTGGGACCTCCTTCTGACCCCCTGATCTTTACTGTCCCTTATGGACTTGGAATTGATTGACCTCGTGTCTCCAGAGTAGAACCTGGCCGGCTGTGATATTTGTGGGTCTCTCTCCTGACTGCAGGTTCGTCTCAGCACTAGACATAAGGCCCTGCAACATCAGGCCTTTGCCCTAAACAGCTCACGATGCCAGGAATTGGCAAATTTCTACTTTGGCTTCAATGGATGGTCAAAAAGGATCCTCAGGGTAAGCCTTGTACATTTTTCGACTAACCACACTCTTCCTTTTACATTAGAATCCTAGACTTTGGGGAGGATTGAACAGGGCTTCCAGGAGGACACGTCAGGGGCCAGCTCTGGCGGGGATAGGTGGATGTGTCTGAGAGTTAGGAAAAACTCGTCCCAGTTCGCTGGCTGATGAAGTCCATAGTTTCTCAGTGTGCTCGGTAAGACTTGGTTGCCTAAAGCAGCATTCCTTTGCAAATCTTCCTTGCTTTTGAAGCTCTAGGGTGCTCCAGCTGTTAGCGGGGATCTGGAGTTTAGTTTTGTATGTTTCTCCGTTGAAATCTTAGGTAAGCTGGGGATAGGGCTGAGTGGTGGAGAGCTTGCCTAGCAGGGTGAAACCTCGGGGCTGATTCTCAGAGGACTCGAATCCCACCCTCCCCAGCTGCAGGAGCTCTCTGGAGCGGAGGACGAGGCTCTTGTGGGGCCCGTGCGGAAACAGAGCCTCAAGTTCTTCTGTGCTGTGGAGGTGGTGCTGCCGTCCTACGGATGCAGGAGCCCTGGAGTCGGCATCGCTGAGGAGCCTCTGCACCAGCTGGAAGAAGAAGGTCTGTCCTCGGCGCAGGGAGGGCTGCAAGAGTGGATATATCATGTGTCTGTCTGTCTGTCTTTTCTTCCTTCTCTTCACTCTTGTCAGCCACCAACCAGGCCCTTCCACCGCTGAACTACTGAAGTCCTGGGCAGAATTTTTATGCCTTATAATATGGATTTTCACTTTAGCACGTGCCTGCCAAAACCTTTACATTTACAATAGAACTGCCCTCCTGCCCAGAGGCTCAGGGGAGGCAGGAAATCCTGTGTCTCTAGTTCTTGTTTAAGGACTTGCTTTGTGTTGAGCTAATTGGTCAGAATCCTTTGTCTTCAGTTATCAGCAAGATCCTGCTGTAGGCCAGGAGGAATGGCTCAGTGCAGGAGCACATACTGCTCTTGCAAAGGCCCTGCATCCTGTTCCCAGCACTCACTTCGGGTGCCTGAAGCCACCTGTCACTGCTGGTCCAGTAGGATCTCACGCCTCTCTTCTCCTCCGGCACCTACACTAGTGTACACAGAGAAAGCCACATGCAGCCAAAGACATGCCATTTATCGTTCTCTAAACCTTGCCATAAACCCTTGTATTGAAAGAAACTTAATCCTTTGCCTGATAATGGAATGGCTGGAACAGACAAAAAGGCCATTGTGAAAAGGTACTCTAATTGATTTTAAGTTATTTTTCTAGACTCCATGGTCCTCAGCATGAGGAGTCCAAGTCAGATGTAAGGAGTTAGTGGGGGGCGTGGAGTAGGCTCCTGAGGCTGCTGGATAGATAACACCCATCATCAGGACCATCACCTGACCTTGTTCCATCATCTGACCTTGCTCAGTGTGAGTCCAGCCCTGAGCTGCAGCAGGCAGAGTCTGCAGGGAGACCTGTCAGTTTGGAATTGGCCAGTGAGATGAGCTTTGTACCTGTGCCTCACTTGGATCCCATAGTTATTACATAAGGAATTTCAGAATGCACTGGGCCTGTGAGATAATGGGCCCTATCATTATGCACCTTCAACAGACCCATTCAGCCAGCTCCTTGTGCTACATCCCTTTAGTTGCTCAAATAATGATCTGAGACTGAATCATAAATGTATTTTCTTTTTAAACAAAGAATAATTGCTATCCATACAAGTATTTACTTATTTTTTACTTTGTGTGTATGGTATATTTGTGTGTAGTGTATGCAAATATATGTGTGCACACAAAGTGTGTGGGCCTGTGTGTGTGTAAGCCCAAAAGCCAGAAAAAGGTGTCGGGTGTACTCTTCTCTTTATTCATTTGAGGCTAGGTCTCTTCCCTGAACCTGGAGCTTGTCCGTCGTTTTGGCCAGCTAGAAGATAACAGCCCCCGTCTTTGCCCGACTCACTGTGGGATGGCAGACATGCACAGGGTCGTGCTCAGCTGTTAACATGGGCACTGTGTCCAAACATTGGTCCTTGTGCGTCTGCAGCAAACACTGAGCCTCTCATCAGCCCCCGTCCAGGTATTTGAAATCTGTCTGCTTGCTTGGTTCCAGGACAACCATCGTTTCTCATGAAGAGGAAGGCAGCTCAGAAGCTCGCGATCCAGAGCGCCTTGTCAGATGCCTTCCAGAAGCTGGCCATCGTGGTTTTAGGTGAGCCTTTCTTGATAATCCCGAGTGCTTGAAACTCAGCCAGAAGGTCATTTTAAAACCTAAATAGTATGAAAATACTAATATCTGGAACATTCCAAATTCTGCTTTCATTCACGGAACTCTGCCGTGGCAGTGACCTCCGATTTGTCCCTTGTCATGTTTATGAGAAAACTGACAGCAGATACTCTTGTTCTCGGGTCTGGATGTCAAAGGGCTAGCCTCATCACTGCAGGCAAACCTGCTGCTTGCTGCTGGCCTGGGTCTGGATGTCAAAGGGCTAGCCTCATCACTGCAGGCCAACCTGCTGCTGGCCTGGGTCTGGATGTCAAAGGGCTAGCCTCATCACTGCAGGCCAACCTGCTGCTGGCCTGGCACTAATAGGGTTTATGAGCTTTGGACATCTGGGCTTGCACATTGGTTTCCTGACCACAGCTAGAGTGACCTGTAGACATTACAGTTACGAAGCTGCTCTCTCATTTGCAAAACAGGCTGGAGGTTCTCCTTCCCTCATGGGGACATCGAAAGAGTCAATGGAAGGGCGAGAGAAAAAGTGTGGGCTCTGCTTGCAGGAGAAACCGGAATCTCTTAATTATCACTGTTCCCTTCTCTCTCTCTCTCTCTCTCTCTCTCTCTCTCTCTCTTTTTTTTTTTTTTTCTTTTTTGGTTTTTCGAGTCAGGGTTTCTCTGTGTATCTTTGGAGCCTGTCCTGGAACTCACTCTGTAGACCAGGCTGGCCTCGAACTCACAGAGATCCGCCTGGCTGAGACCTGTCTTAAATATGAAATCTTTGGCTTCTTTTCACTTGTGATGTTGGCATATGGGGTGGGCACCGTCAGGGAATCATCAGATGCTTTCTTGTGGAGTGTTGATCGTGGTTGTGATGCTGGTGTTGGCATCGTGGTCCCAAAAAGGTTGACAATGGTTTGACCTTTTGGGGCTCAGCAACAAGTCTCCAAAAGGATCGCTGTCCTGTTTTATAACCCTGAAGGCTTAGCAACTGAGATACTCCAACTCATCGAGGCTTTTCTGTGCATGTGAGAGGTGGATCCAGTTGACGGCAGCCTTCCAACCTGGCCAGCCTTCTTGTCAAAGTATGACCCCGTGGTCATCAGCTGGGAGTGCCAGCAGCTGTCGGCTCTGAGTGGGCACCTTTAAGAACCGGGCTAAATACCTAAGTTCTCTCTGTCTCTCTCCTCTGCTGTGGTATTCCTTCTGTAAACTCAGAAACCCTTAGACCAGAGCCATTGTATGTGGCTTGATGTGAGGAATGCTGGGTTATGTACATAAGAGGGACAGTGCCTACCAGTGGGAGGCTGCAACTGTGAGACATTTCTCGTATCTTGTGGAAGCTCATTTCTTGAGGAATAGAAAATTGCCCCTTGCTTCCAATCCGGGTCCTCTATGCCAGGCCTGAATTTGCCTTGTCTGCCACCTACGCCGCAGGCTTCAGCCATTTGAACCTTTTTTATTTCCAATTTCTTGTTATGCCCTAGTCCTGTCTCTAAAATACCAAAGTTGTTTGAACTAACATGCTTGATACCTCATTTTTTTTTTTTTTTTAAATGCGTACTGGTGTTTTGCCATGGATGGGAATTGGAGTTACAGACAGTTGTGAGCCGCCATGTGGGTGCTGGGAATTGAACCCGGGTCCTCTGGAAGAGCAGTCAGTGCTCTTAACCACTGAGCCATCTCTCCAGCCCACTTTTTTTTTTTTTTGAGACAGAGTCTCTATGTAGCCCTGGCTGTCCTGGAACTCATCATGTAGACCAGGCTGGCCCGGAACTCTCAGAGATCCGCCTGCCTGGGCACCACCATTCCTGGCCCTGCTCATACACTCTTTAAGCAGATGGTTCTGCCGATAACTGCAGCGTGGGATGCAGCATTTCTAGAGACATGCTCTCCTTTAGCCTTTAGAGACTGTAAGCCTTCATCAGGTGTGACTGTTGGACTGTTAACAAGAAAAACTCTGAACCTGTCCTCACTTTCAGAAAGTGGCAAGGTCGCGGTGGAGTACATTCCCAGTGAAGAGTCCACAGATGCCGGAAGTGAGGAAGAGCTACAGAGTTTAATCCAGGTACTCGGGGAACCTAAGCCGAGGTTTCCGTAGCTGGGGTAGCCAAGACCGAAGCAGCCAGCAGGGTCTGGAAGACTGCACCGTGCAGCATCCTCACGGAAGTGTGGACTTGAAGGCCGTTGAAGTACAGGCGATTTGGGGGCCTTTTCCTGAACTCCTAGCCCTGGCCTCTTCCCCCTTGTGTGGAGTTTGATGAGAACTGAGGTCGCTGACTGCATGACTGTGACCGTGGCCCCCAGATGGGTGGGAGGTCCCTGAGCAGTGATCATTTCAGAACTTCCTCCATGAGGCCCAAGAGCACATGGAACAGGGCAGTTCTCTGATGTGCTACCACCAGGGAAATGGTCTCTTTCTAAATAACTGTGTTACTTAAACCCCTCCATTTCCCTTCTCTCCGGCAGAAGACTTTCCTATAAGTTTTTTTGCCAAAGACCTTCTTTTTTTTTTTTTTTTGGTTTTTCGAGACAAGGTTTCCCTCTGTAGCTTTGCGCCTTTCCTGGAACTCACTTGGTAGCCCAGACTGGCCTCGAACTCACAGAGATCCGCCTGGCTCCGCCTCCCGAGTGCTGGGATTAAAGGCGTGCGCCACCACCGCCCAGCTACCACAGACCTTCTTATAAATCAGTTTTATAAAAGGTCTTGATCAGAGAATAAGTTGCCAAAGTCACTTCAAGAAAACGGTCACTATTACATAGAAGATACCTTGAAAGCGGTAGTGGCTGAAATGTGTTCTGCCTCATGGGGATGTCATTTGGGGGTTTTGGTTACTTACTGCACCCCAGAACCTTGAAGTGATTTGAACAAGTAAAGTGGTCACTGTCTCAAAAAGTAAAGTTCTCCATGGAAAGCAATGGTTTAGTTCAGCTTAAACAGGGATTTCCTGGGTAAATGTTTCCCCATGGCTCTGTTCACCGCAGAGAGGTTAGGGTGGGCTGCCCCAAAGTGCGGACAGTGGCCCTTGGGCAGTGGTGTCCATTTATCCTTTTACTTTTACCAAATGTGTCTCTGAGAGAGAGACAGAGACAGAGAGAGAGACAGAGACAGAGAGTGAGTTACCACAGTGCAGGTAATGTTACCCTGAAGCTGGTGTCTTGAGTCTGCAGACCCTTGGCTGGTAAAGGTACTCAGTCTCAAGACTAATCAAGGAAACTTCTCTCTTTCTGTTGGTTTGTTGTTTGTTTTGTTAGACCTGGCTGTCCTGGAACTCACTCTGTAGACCAGCTAGCCTCGAACTCACAGAGATCGGCCTGGCTGTGCCTCCCGAGTGCTGGGATTAAAGGCTTGTGCCACTGTGCCCAACAGTGTTGTTTTGTTTTTTGTTTTTTGAGGCAGGGTCTTAAGTAGCCCAGGCTGGCCCTGAACTTTGATTCTCATATCCCCCTCCAGAATGTTGGCCTTCCAATTATGTACTGCCAAACCTGGTTTAGTGCAGTGGTTTGAATGAGAATAGCCCCCATAGGCTCATATATTTGCATGCTTAGTCCCAGTTGGTGAGTTGTTTAAGGATTTAGAGGTGTGGCTTGTTGGAGGAGGTGTGGCCTTGTTGGAGGAGGTGTGGCTTGTTGAAGGAGGTGTGGCTTGTTGGAGTAGGTGTGTCACTGAGAGTGGGCTTGGAAGTTGAAAAGCTCCCGTGTCAGGTCCAGTGTCTCTCTCTGCCTGCTTCTGTGGATTAGCTCTCAGCTACTTCCCCAGCACCATGCCTGCCTTGTGTACCAACATGCTCCCCACCATGATGATAATGAATAACCCTCTGAAACTGTAAGCAGGCTCCCAATTACATGTTTATTTTTTAAGAATTGCCTTGGTAGCCGGGTGGTGTTTGCGCATGCTTTTAATTCCAGCACTCGGGAGGCAGAGGCAGGCAGATCTCTGAGTTTGAGGTCTGGTCTACAGAGTGAGTTCCAGGACAGCCAGGGCAATACAGAGAAACCATGTCTTGAAGAACCAGAAAAGAGTTGCCTTGGTGTCTCTTCACAGCAGTAGAACAGTGACTAAGACACAGGGCGAGCACACTGCTAAAGAAGCTCCACCCCAGTGACATTTATCACACTTTCAACAAGTCCAGCTTTCGTCCTGTGTGGTGGCACACACCCTTAATTCCAATGCTCAGGAGGCAGAGGCAGGCAGGTCTCTGTGAGTTCGAGGCCAGCCTAGTCTACAGAGCGAGTTCCAGGACAGGCACCAAAACAACACAGAGAAACCCTGTCTCAAAAAAAAAACAAAAACAAAAACCAAGTCCAGCTCTCTGTGAGTGTGAGAGGGAGCAGTCAGCACTGGATTCTGAAATCTGACTGCAACAGTAGATTATTCACCGATAGAGAGGGACTATTAAATGAATTCCATTTTAAAACCAGCACTGCGTGCCCAGCTGTGCCAGGACACTGGTGTGTTTGGTTATGTGCGCATGAGTGCAGATGTCCTAGGAAGCCAGAGGCATGGAGCTAGAGTAACAAGTGGTTGTGAGTCACACCATGTGGGTCCTGGAAACCGAACTCAGGACCTCTGGAAGTACTTACTCCTAACTGCTGAGCCATCTCTCCAGCCCCAAGATGAAGGCTCTTCTTGCAAATCATAATACACATTATAAAAGCGGCTCCGAAGGAAGTCAGCTAGGCATCTTCTCTGTGTTGATGTGTGACATGAATCTCTGAAGTGGTAGCCATGCCTGTGAGTCAGCGTGGGATGCGGATGCTTTCCCAGGCCAGCGGAAAGGCTCCCCACTTTGATACAAACCTTCTGGCTGAATTACCCACCCCCAAATCCCTCTGCAGAAGTTAAGGAGTGGTCACAGATTTTATCCTGGTTCAGCCCAAGCAGTGGTGAGCTGGGAACCATGGTACCGGATGGTGAGTGGCTAGGGGATAGCAACCCTGGAGTAACCGCTGTGTGCTCTCCCACCGCCCTGGTGGCCTTCATCCTGCAGGTCAGCTCCTTTCCTTGGAATCAGCCCGGCCAGAGGGAGGAGGAATGTCTCTCAGATTTCAGCTTGGAAGAGGAAGAACCCGAGCTGTAAGAACTGCACTAACCCTGTGTGCAGGCGTGGCCATCTCACTCTCTTGGGAAGTTCTACATTTCTGATTGGTGGGCTGCTGGCGTCCCTCAACTCCCAAGTGTGAGGCCCAAGTCTTGCCCAGCGCCTTGGAAGAGGTCTAAGAGAGGCTGGAGCCCTGTCACTGTGATGGGAAGAGGATCCCTATGCAGAATGGAACTGGGTCCAGAGTAATAAAGGCCACCTAACAAAGGTGTCCTATTGTGTTGGTGGGTGGTTTGGGTCCCTGGCTTCAGGAGCTTCACTAAGGTTTAGTTCCACCAGTGAGGCTGTCTTTGAAGGGACAGTCTAACCCACTTTTTCTGTGGCCCCAGGAGCTGATCCTCTTTATGCAGCAACTATTTTGCCTCCTGGCCAGGTAGTTCTCCAGAGCCTTGAGGACAACCGACCCCTGGTTTTTTTGTTTTTTGTTTTTTTTTTGGGGGGGGGGTTTCGATACAGGGTTTCTCTGTGTAGCTTTGCGCCTCTCCTGGAACTCACTTGGTAGCCCAGGCTGGCCTCGAACTCAGAGATCCACCTGGCTCTGCCTCCCGAGTGCTGGGATTAAAGGCGTGCGCCACCACCGCCCGGCGACCCCTGATTTTTGTACTCCTTTGGAATTGCCCCAGTAGCCTACAGCCCAGACAGCACCTGGCCATTTTGTTTTTTATTCAGTGTGTGTCTGTGTGTGTGTGTGTGTCAGCCAGAGCTGGCTCTCTCCTTTGGGCACTTGGCCTTTGAGTATCTGGGGTCCACTACCCCCTCTAGGTGTTTGCCCCATGACAGGCATTTACAACAGTTTGCTTTTATTCCAGGATACCAGTGTCTCTTGGCAGCCATACCCTGAATCAGATCAGTTGTCTGTTCCACCCCAGAATGTGCCCTGCTAGCCGACTCGAATCCCAAGGCTCCCAAAGGTGGTTCCGGTGCTAGGGGTCAGAACAGGGCTCTGCTGAAAGAATTGGTGTCGGCTCAGGGTCCCCAAGACCAAGTTCTCAGGACAAAGGAGATTTATCTGCCCCAGAGGGACAAGGAACAGGGAATAAGAGACAAAGACAGGAGAGAGAGGATGAGGGGAAGGGAACGGGAGAGGGGGAGGGGTTATTTGTCCAGGAGGGAGGGGAAGGGATGACAAAGGACTGCCTCCGGATAGAAAGACCCATAGGTAAATGGTGGTTTATAAAGGGAAAGGGGGAAACCCTGTGTTAGGATGAGGTGTTTAATTTTAATTGGGTGTGTTAATTAGGTGAGCCACAGGGGGCTTTTGATTGCTGGATTTCAATACTTGGATAGCTGGACCTTGGTAGTTGTTGGCCTCAGGAGGAGGAGGTGGCCAAATAAGGGAAGAGACCTTGGTGACTAGCTTTAGGAATGTGATCTAATGGTTTTTAGCAAGGCAGAGTGAATGGGGGAGAAGGGCAAGGCCTGCCAGAGCCATATGTTTGAGTGGGTTTCTTAGATCCTAGTTAGCAGCAGAAACTCCATTTTGTCCCAGTCTACTCTGAGCTGCTCCCCACAATTTCCTGAGGCCAGACGGCCGCCCTCGGGAGCCCCTCACACACGTGTAAACCACAAACGTTCCCCCCCTTCTGATTGGTTGAAAGTGTGTCACGTGGAGAGTCCCCGACCGCTTCTCTCGGCACAGGTTGATTGGATGGGACTCCAGAGCTGTCTGTGGTTTTCCCCTTTAAAACTGGCTGTTGCCCTAGCCTCAGGAATGTAGGTGGGGCCCAAACCCTGTCGCCTCCCTGATACATTTTTTAAAATAAATTTGTGGCTTCCTTGAACCCAGTCTTTTGTGGTGGATTATTTATTCCCAGGTTCTGGGACCCTAACAGGCTAGTGTCTTTTCATCAACAGTGCCGCTTTCTAAAAAAAAATTTGAGACAGGGTTTCTCTGTGTAACAGCCCTGGCTGTCCTAGAATGTTCCTTGTAGAGCAGGCTTAACTTGAACATAGAGATCCACCTGTGCCTGGTGTGCTGGGATTAAAGGTGTGTGCCTCCATACCCAGCTGTCAAAATATAGATTTATTTATTTATTATGTCTACAGTGTTCTGCCTGCATGTATGCCTGCACGCCAGAAGAGGGCGCCAGATCTCATCACAGATGGTTGTGAGCCACCATGTGGTTGCTGGGAATTAAACTCAGGACCTCTGGAAAAGCAGCCGGTGCTCTTAATCTCTGAGCCATCTCTCCAGCCCTCAAAATATTTTTTATTCTGTGTCCCGAGAGGCCAGAAGATGGCATCAGATCCCCTGAGCTGGATTCACAGGCAGTTGGGAGCCAGCTGACCGAGGGCTGGGAACTGAACTCTGGTCACCTGAGATAGCAGTAAGTGCTCTTAAGGGCTGAGCCATCTTCCCAGCTCCCCCCAACACCTCCCTCCACACACACCTTTTTGGAAACAGATTCTCTTGTAACCTTGAGATGTCTAACGTTGCATTGATGGCTAACTTCATGTTTAGAAGTTTAAAATTCCTGTGCTTAAGAGAACTGTAAAGCGCCGGGCGGTGGTGGCTCACGCCTTTAATCCCAGCACTCGGGAGGCAGAGCCAAGGCGGATCTCTGTGAGTTCGAGGCCAGCCTGGGCTACCAAGTGAGTTCCAGGAAAGGCGCAAAGCTACACAGAGAAACCCTGTCTCGAAAAACCAAAAAAAAAAAAAAAAGCCTCTTCTTTGTTAAAATTTATTCGTGGTCAGACTGGTGGATCTCTGAACGTTCCAGGCCCAGAACAGCCTGCACTGGTCTCAAATGATTTCTTTTCCTTTTAAGAAATAGGAACAAGATGGTTTATTAGGAAAGGGTAAGTAAGCACCCTGGAGAGTGGGCAAGGGCATTTGCATTGTTTCCAACTCAGGAGAGCGAGGGATGAGCTTGAAGGAATGCTGCACCCTCCCCTTCCAGGGCTGCACTGCCCGTCTGCGGGCACCTCATCCACTGGGCGCCCTGTTCTCCAGGAGACTCCTGTTGCCCCCTGCTGCACTCTGCACTAGAGACTGTAAAAACCTCAGCTCACATCTTTAAGAGAATAAGACAGTTTATTCTGGAGCCATTGCGTGACCATGGCCCGGTGTTGGTTAATCGGCGGCGCACTGCGCGTGGCTGGCCGTGCCGGCGGCGGAGGAGAGTGCTGATCGGAAAAATCACAGCCATGGTTACCTCTTTAGAGCTTTATTGGGAGGCTGGGGGCGAGGGGGAGGAAGAGAGGGGACAGACGGAAGGAAGGAGTGGAAAGGAAAGAAAGACGCACAGTGGGCCCACCCGCTTTTTAGGCTGGGATGCTGTCGCAGGCTGATGACGTAATTAAGGACAGAATCCTTACACCCGGAACAGATTTAGCTGACCCCAAATTCCATGTTCCAATGTGAAAGTAGTTTCACGAGGTTTTTATAGTTTTACAGAACAAAGAAAGTCTTGAGGCAATTTAAAAACACATTGGTGAGTACCCCAGAGAGGTAGATACATAGAGATGGGGGAACTGTTTTACATATGCTATTGACAATCTTAGCTCTTAGGTTGGTGGACGCTTGTGTTCTGCTAAGTTAGTAGCTCCTAAGGTTTTTATTCATTATCACACACAAGGTGTTAGTTGAGATACAGAGTGGGGCAAGGCATGGCTGTCCAGAGCCGAACACTTGCCCAAGATGAAGTAATCAGGCTCTGAACCTACAAAATTCCAGTCTCACCACAGTACTGAAATTCCATCCGTCCACCAGTCTGCAGACACAGACTCCTTCAGGAGCATTGTGTTCACGGCCAGACACGAACCTTTTTAGGGATTTTCATTCACAAGATACAATCTAGGATTTTTCACATAGTAGATAAATCCCCTATGACTTGTGATAGACAATGTCATGTTGATGGCTAACTTTATGTTTAAAAGTTTAAAATTACTGTGCTTCAGAGAACCATAAAGCAAAATTGGACCTACCAAATGTTAAGGACTGCTCAGGGTTGTTTCTGTAATTGCCTAGTCTTGTACAACTCTAACAAAACTTGTGTATGCAAGGTCACAGGTCACAAGATTAACGTTGGTTCTGATCCTGTAACAAAAAGCTTGTTTTGCTCTAGTTAATTGAGATACTTGCAAGACATCTGTTTGCAAGTATCGTGCAAAGTAGTGGTTCGGCACTACATCTGGGAATCCCCAGGCCTGGTGGAGACCTTGAGCTAGTATCTGAAGAAAAGCCTCCTCTTTGTTAAAGTATATTCATGGCCAGACTGGTGGATCTCTGAATGACCCAGACCTATAACAGACTGAGCTTAATCTCCTAGTTCCTCTTTTTTTTTTCTCAAATTATTTTTTTATTTTATGTACATTGGTGTTTTTCCTGCATGCATGTCTGTATGAGGGCATTGGATCCCCTGGAACAGGAGTTACAGACAGTTGTGAGCTGCCACGTGGGTGCTGGGAATTGAACCTGGGTCCTCTGAAAGAGCAGCCAGTGCTCTTAACTTCTGAGCCATCTCTCCAGCCCCCCTTTTTTAAAAAGACAGTCTCAACCGGGTGGTGGTGGTACATGCCTTTAATCCCAGCACTCTGGAGGCAGAGGCAGGCCGATTTCTGAGTTCGAGGCCAGCTTGGTCTACAGAGCGAGTTCCAGGACAGCCAGAGTTACAGAGAAAGCCTGTCACAAAAAACCAAAAATAAAAATACAGTCTCTTTCTATAGCCTGGAATTCCTCAGCTCACTATGTCCTGAAAACTTACTGTATTGCCTAGACTGGTCGCAAAATTCACAATTTTCTAGCCTTCATTTCCCAAGTGCTAGGATTACAGGAGTACAACACTGTTGTGTCTTTTGGGCTGCAAGAATATATTATAGAGATTCAGCTGTGTAGCAAAGCTATACTTTGACCGGCCAAGGGTCCATCAAATGGGAAGCCATTTATCATGGAATATTTGGTGTTATACAGCCTTAATATTTCAGCTGTCTTCTACTATGAAATTCTTGTGTGCCCAAATACTCCCAGACCACATTGGCAAACAGCCAAGCTTCTCAGATGCTGATCCACGAGATAGCTAACACCCTGACAAGGCCTAGGAGACCAGCAGGATGCAGGTGCATAGCTTTGTTTCTTGTGCAAATGAAGCTCATACCATCCCTTGCCTTCAAGCCCAGGGGCATTCCAGAGCAATTGACTGAGGACAGTAGGGCCTTTTGCACAACCTAAGACTAGAGCGAATTCCACAGGGAGAGACAGAGCCGCGTGGCCAGGGAGAAGAGAGGAAGACACAGATCCTGTAGAGGGTGAGGCAGATCTCTTGTAGAGTTTATCAGGGCCAGGGGTAAGGAGCCGGGAAATATAGATGGAGGACGAATGAACAGAGGGTGAAGATCAGGTCAAAAGCATAGGAGCTTACTAAAACTATGAGGACAGGAAAACTGGGTACAAAGAGGAACTGAGACTCAGGACAGAACAGAAGCTGTATAGATAGTTTTATCATAAAGGAATAAAGTCAATGGACAAAAGAGCATAGTGTACGTAAATTCCTTTCCCTCAGATACCCCACACTGTATGTAGTGTCTTTCCCAGACTCTGGGAGGAATTTTCTCAGGGCAGGAACTTGGGAAAATTCTGTTATCCTTAGTTGTGTAACAGTTTCCTCCAAGATTAAAACATTGCATTTTAAGCCGGGCGGTGGTGGCGCATGCCTTTAATCCCAGCACTCGGGAGGCAGAGCCAGGCGGATCTCTGTGAGTTCGAGGCCAGCCTGGTCTCCAAAGCGAGTACCAGGAAAGGTGCAAAGCTACACAGAGAAACCCTGTCTCGAAAAACCAAAAAAAAAAAAAAAACAAAAAAAACATTGCATTTTGCAGAGCAAGAAGGCAAACAATCCAAAATAGCTCCAGGAAGTCCCTGAAACTGACAAGAATCACTACCACCACCACCCCATCCCCCCCCATCCCCCCACCACCACCACCCCACTCCGCCCGCCCCACCCCACCCCACCCCAACCCCACCCCCGCCATAGTAAACAGAAAAGCTCAGAGTCCCTCTCAGACAGCTTTACAGAGCAGGAAGGCAAACAACCCAAAATAGCTCCAGGAAGTCCCTGAAACTGACCAGAATCACTAGCCCCCGCCCCCCCCCCCCCCCCCCCCCCCCGCTCCCTGCCAGAGTAAACAAAAAAGCTCAGAGTCCTCTCAGAGCAAAGCTGAGCTGCAAAGACTCTTAGACCTGAACAGTTCCTGGAACAGGTTTAGACCAACTGAGGCACCTGGAAAGGACACTCTCCAACCTGTTGAGCTGCCAGTAGGCTGTGCAGTGTGCTCCAGGTTCCCAGATTTGTGAGCTGTCACCCATGCTGGGGTGGTCCTTGGTGATGAAGCTGTCTTTGAGACATTTCTGCTCCTGTAAGTAATCCCTCACCCATATTCCTGTAAGTGACCCCAATAAAACTCACGGTTCAGGACAGCCACAGCTACACAGAGAAACCCTGTCTTGAAAAACAACAGATTACCAAAAAACCTCAGAGTTCACCAAGTTGGACTTCGGTGGTCTCCATACGTGGGTCTGTCCCGGGATCCCTGTCTGGTGAGAAGTGGTGTGTTGTGTCTCCCCAGGAAAAGTTTTATCACACAACCACCACCATGTCTAGCTCTCTGTAATACGTGTATTTAGCCTTCTGTGCATGTGTGCGTTTATTGATGTTTAACATACATTCTGATACTTCCCGACCCTCCCTTTTCTCAGCTCTATCCTGTTCTACTGTCATGGTTTACATACTTGTGCATGTGCACGTATGCATATCAAATCGAGGAAGCACGGGTAAGAGAAAACATTT